GCAAACTTCGCAAGGCTATATTATCCGCATTTTACAACATTTCGCAACGAAACTTTGGAATATTACTAATTTTGTGATCCTCTTTCAAGCTGTGATGAAATTTTTGTCCAGACTTGTTGAGATCAAAATTTAGTCTATAATGCAAATGGTCCATTAGCTAGGGAAAATGGTATGAAACCTGTTTACGACCTTCGACCGATTTTGGACGTGAATTACGCCATCTTGGATTCACTTTTCTCATGGACCGAATGATATATGTAGCTCACTGGTCACGTGACTAAGTCATGGTCAGCGATAGGAAATAGTCTGAGTCTATCTTGAAATTTGTGGGCTTTTGCATCTATGCAAGTTTATCGATCTTGCGTTACGACGTTAGAGACTTTAAGATCGACTTTTACGGCAGACTGCAAACTTCAAATTGTATTTTGAGGTCAACTGTTAGAAGTTAGGAAAATTGAGGATGAGTTGGTTACTTCGCTGTCGAAAACTTGTGGTACTTTGAAATGCCTTCAAATACGATTTGTAGTTTGCGGTTGAAGGTCTGCCGTAAACGTCAATGAAAAAACAACAAGAGAAATACATGTAAGAACAAGAGCAGCAGGAACGAACTCTGAACGAGGAGACCGCGACACCTTCCGAACAGTGCCGAAATTCGAACGACGAAACTGACGTGAAAAGCGAAGAGATTGTGGAGAACGAGAAAAACGCAGAATGTCGCGAAGAAAATGAAGAATGTCCGTTTGACGATAAAGTTGTAAATAATAATGGAAATACCGGTAAGACTTTAAACACACAAAGAAAATCACTTGTATATCTGGGGAACAAGGGAACATGGTGAAATCTTTGTGGGGAACAAAGCAAAAATTTCCACGGGAACTCAGCCCCTCCCCCCTCCCTCCCCCATGTTCTTCCTCGAAATGATCACCACTGTGTCACAGCTATGTATCATTTTGAGAAGATATATTTCCTAGAAATTCCCGGAGTTGTTCGCTTTATCCAAAAACAGTTTTCATTTAAAAAAAATTACTATTCTATCTTCGTTCCTATTGTTCTTCCTATTAGTTCTTCCTTTTGTAGTTCATCAGTTAACATTTTTAAACATAAATTACGTAAATATCTTTTAGGAAATCATTCATAGTAGCATTTGGCCTTTAATAGTATTTACATCCATTCCAGTAATTAGTTAGTTAGAATTTCATGTTAGTATATCTTATAATTTTTTGTAATTGTTAATTGGCTCCGAAAAGCCCCGTTGGGGAGAGTTCAATAAATTATTGTATTGTATTGTATTGTTCCTCTAGGAGTGTTAAGAAACATTACAGAATTACGACCATGGTAAGTTTAAGAGGCAATTTTTCTCAATATCGCGAATTTGCGATGAAAAGTGTTCAAAACCTAAAATCTTTTTGGCGTTTCTCTCAAAATTACTTTGTTTTAGCTTTATTTTGTAGTTTAAACTTTCGCTCGAAACAGCGACGTTTGTTTTTATGCAAGCCCGCAAACATTGAACATTGTTTTGTGTTGTAGGCCTCTTGAAAGTGTCCTCGTTGAAAAATACGAGTGGAGCGAAGAAGACGCTGAATAATTAGCGTCGTTTTTGCTGCCGATGTTGGACTTCGTTCAAGAGAATAGAGCTACAGCCGCACAATGTTTAGAACATCCTTGGCTTAGTGACGTTTGAAAGATATCATGTAGCTTACTTTGCTTTCACGTCAGTGATGGCGCTCAGGGGGGACAGAAGAGACTAGTTTAGCCACTTCGGGGCACTGTAACCCCTGGCCGCTCAGGGCTACCAAGAGGGCGGGGCAGGGGAAAGTTTTCCTGCCCCACCCTGACATGATAGCGGTCCTAACGTCAGAGGGACACCCAAGATTTAGCGGGGCACCCTAAGTTGGAGTATGTTGTTTTCCAACATGGCATTTTTTCTTTAGTTTTAAATTATAACTTCATATGGGGCTCAAAAGAAAAATTGCACTGGACCCAACAAAACGACCCGGCGGAAAATAGAAATTCGCGGGTCGCTCATCCGTAGAAGTTTAGTGTACTTTATATAAAAGTCTAATGTGCCAGAGCATTTTGCGTTTGACTTTGCGCTTTAGTAGCCCGATTTATTGCAGAAACGGGTTATCTTTCTGGATGAAGTTAGGATAAGAAAAGATTACGTCCTGTGAATAATCGCACAAACCAACGGGTCATCTCTCAAAACGAACGTAGTTCGTGTTCTCAGACGAATTTGCGCGCGTATTTCATATTGACGGATGGAAAGGAAAACCTAAGGAAAACCTTTGACATTCGGAGCATGCGCAGATAGGTCGGTTTCAACAATGTTGTTATGTTCCACGAGGCAATTTTTGCTACATCTTGCAACGTGATTTCTGACATAGAGCGATGTTATGTGTAAGGTAGTCGCAAGGAAATTGTGAGCATGACCCACAGTTTACTCTGCCGACATTTTTCATCCCATTTCTTTCATTTTTCCATTGAAATGAATATAACTGGAACGCTATCTTTAGTTTATATCATGATTGACTGATTTGAGCGCTCTTCGCATGCGTGAAAAGACTGGGACTGATCTTCAAGTTTGGCTTCAAATTTCCGGTTGGAGGTAGCGTTCTCAATGAATTTTTCATCCCTTGAGAGTATGTTATGTAATTAAGAAAGTATCGACAGAGTAGAATGCGGGTCATGCTCACAATGTCTTTGTGACAGCTTTTCAGATAACGTGATATTCAAAATGGCGTTGCAAGTTGCAGCAAAAGTAGCTCGTATAACATTAAAAAAAAACTCGGAAAAAGCACAACAGATATTTTTTATCAAACCGTACTTTTCCAACGATATACAATCCCAAAAAAGTATATTGTCAATAAAAATTTACATGACAAAATGGTTCATAAAAGTTCTATAACAAATCTACCAAACTACAATGTTAATTCAATTACCAAGCTATCACTAAACTTGATGACTTGTAAATATAATATCATTATATCTTACAAAAGTCCTCCCATAGGCGTACAGGACGGGGGGGGGGGGCAGGGGGATATAATATCATTATATCTTACAAAAGTCCTCCCATAGGCGTACAGGACGGGGGGGGGCAGTTGCCCCCCAAAAAGATTACAAAGTCGAAAATTCGGGCAAATGTTCAACAAAAGTCGGACAAAAGTCGAGCAAAAAGTAGTAAAAGCAATAAAATCTTTCTTAATAATAACCCCAGTTTGTTGGGCAAACAAAGCCAGTTTGGCAATATTCGCTTAACAGTCGGGCAATATTGGGTTATTATAAAATAAAATGGGACAAATTGTGTCAATTTTGCGGGAAATTATGTCCATTTTGTGATTTTTGGGAAAATTTGTTTGATGTTACGAAAAATTTTGTAATGTCCGAAAAATTTTTGGACCCCTAAAATGGCAAAAATTTTTGGACCCCGAATTTTTTTTGGGGGGGGAGGTCGCCAAAATTGATTGTTCCGGAAAAAAATAATTTCAGCACTGGTCGGGCACAATCCGAAAAAGTCGGGCAAATTTTCGCCCCCACCTTTCTCCTGTCCCGTACGCCTATGAGTTATCCCGGCATGTCGAAAGCTATTTTCATCTATATATAAAAATGTTTGTAAACCTGAATCAAAGAAAATCATAGACCAATTTCATATCTCCGTCTGTACAGGTCGGAACCACTGAAAATACAGTTTTCCGTAGTTTCTTCAGAGATCAATATACAGGGTGTATAAAAAAAAACTGAACAGATTTGAAATTGGTCTCAATTTCGTAAAACACCTATTTGTATCCGGTTTTTTATATATGTAGCTTCTTTGGGTACTTATAATGTAGAATAATGAAAAAAATTTCTTGAACTTAAATTTTGTGAACCAGGGGGGGTGTCTTTTCCAACAAACTAAAAATGGCTCGCGCACAAAATTTAAAAGTTGTAATCATATTTTGAATTAATAGATGGAAAATTTGTCGGGTTGTTAATTACTGTACAAAATTTCAGGCAATTTGGTTTAGTTTAGTTTCTATTCACGCAAAGTTACATTTTTCCTAAAAATCAGCTATTTGCATGCTTAATTAATGCCTTTGCCTAATTTGCATATGTTAGCAAATATGCAAATTAGGTAAACGCATTAATTAAGCATGCGAAAGGCTGATTTTTTAGAAAAAAATGAATAGTTAAAGGGTTTAAACTCAACCAAATTGTCTGAAATTTTGTACAGTAATTCAAAACCCGACAAAGTTTCCATCTATTAACTCAAAATATGATTACAACTTTTAAATTTTGTGCGCGAGCCATTTTTAGTTTGTTGGAAAAGACACACCTCCCTGGTTCACAAAATTTGAGTTTGAGAAATTTTTTTCATTAATCTACATTATAAGTACCCAAAGAAGCTATATATATAAAAAACCGGATGCAAATAGGTGTTTTGCGAAATTGAGAACAATTTCAAATCTGTTCAGTTTTTTTTGATACACCCTGTATATACGTTTCTTTTCATGGGAAAAAAGGTAATTTAGCAAAGTTTTCAATCTGTATACTTCATCAAATATATTCTATGTCATAGATTATTTTGACATTTTGACACATTACAGATTTCAAGAAACTGCTAGGCTAAGTTTTTCAAATATTTCAAATATTTGAAAATAATAATAGTTTTTAAATATTTCAAAGTGCCGAAAAGTTTTTTCGTTTTGAAGAGAAGAATTTTTCAAACATGAAGAGATCATGTTTGAAAACTTCTCATCGTCGATTTTAAAGCAAAGAAAGTCTCGGTTAAACGATGATGAGAGTTGCGACTTTCGCTCGCGTTTGACCGCCAACTCTTCATCGACTTTCATCAACTTTGAACTGGTTCAAATTTTGATGAAGTTTTTGCTAGGCGCGTGGTAATATCCATGCAACTCTTGTTCTCGTTTGACCAAGGCATGAGAGTTGAAGAAACTCTAGTGCAAACTCTTGCTTCTCAACTCTCATCAACTCTCATGCAACTCTTGTTCTCGTTGGACCGGGACATGAGAGTTGAGAAAACTCTCATGCAAACTGTCGCTTGCCAACTCTCATGCACTCTCATCCTCATTTGATCCGGGCTTAAAACTTTTTATTTGCTAAATTGTATTCATGCATTCGGAGAAAATTTAAGAAATAATATACGACTAGTAAATATACGCACCAACAACTTTTTGCTGAGAAAATGAGAACTTGCTTGAGAACCTGGAACCTAAATAGTAACCTTATTTACCGTACTGCAGACAATGATCGGGATTACAGTTTGAAAGCTTTGCTGAATAAATAATCGTATTTTCAACAAAAATAAAAGTACTTACATTATTTTCCATTAAATTATCTATCTGTTCCGTAAGTTCTCACAAATCTGATCTATCAGACAAGTGCATAGTTTCTTCCTTGCTTTTTCATGTGTCGACAACAGATGACTTGAACATATTCCAGTCAGGTTTTCACAATTTGCTTGATTTCAGTTTAAACGATTTCTTGACAAGAAAAACAGGCGAAAGCAGCAACCAGGCAACTGTTCCAATCAATATCTTCACAATTTTGTTGTCATAATTACCACTGTCATTTAACCATCAACACACCAATTATAATCACCATCGTAACAATGATTTGTACCATCACAACCTCTTCATTACCTGCATTTATTTTAAGTGACAAAACGGTAACTATCAGCATTTTTACACCATCGTCACTATCAGCACCTTTATCATGCGACCATCACCAACATCAGCACTGTTATAATCATTACCACCATCAACAACACTGCAACAATAACCACTATCACCATTTTCACCACCATCACAACATTGCCGTAATAACCATCACTATCACACTGCAATAATAATCACCATCTCTCAACATTGCAATCTCAGACATCATCACGGCCACAATCGCAATTTTGACCACCATCATAATGACCACCACCAACACCATCAGTAATATTACTGTACTATCATTTCTAAATCACCATCTATGATTATTAGTTCATTACCATCACCAACACCATCATACACCTAAATATTCTTCCATCAGCTTTTCACGATCAACACCTCATGCAAGGTAACAGCTTTGTTTTCTACTTGATATTTGATGCATAATTAGAACCTGTAACCCCAGGCAGGGAGGCAAGGGAGTACTATCACTTGTCCAAGGTGAACTCCCAGACAAGCGGAGGGAAGGAGGTGTCTTACTTCTCCATTCTAGACTGGCTCCAAGCAAAGTCTAACCACTGCCCCCAAAACATCCTTATTTACATACCCTTGTTAAAAAAACCTTTTCATCATCGTTCTGTGCGTAATATACTATAGGCCTACTGTATATAAACCGGCGTTATCTAAGTACTTGTTGGACCAGGAACTGGTCCCCAATCGCTGCTAATCTTGTTGTTGTTGTTGTTGTTGTTGTTGTTGTTGTTGTTGTTGTTGTTGTTGTTGTTGTTGTTGTTGTTGTTAGGGGGCGACGCTCTTTGAACAAACCCTAAGGCTCCGTCATTACTTGTCCGATCGGAATGAAACTTGACATAATTATTCTAAGCAATATTCCGCATCGATTGACGGTGTTCGATTTTTCATTTTTGACTTTAGAAGCGAAATACAAGCAATTTGTGACTGTATTCTGGGTCACGCAGTTCCTGGTCCATTATAGTACGATCGTACTTTTTATGCATGAATCGAGCCGAAGGCGAGGAAGTCATACATATTTCCCAGAGCAATGCCGACTTATAGTAAGCAGCTGCCTTACGTTTCATACTAGACAGCAAAGGGTCTTGTGGAATGCACAGTCGAAGAAACTCCATATCGCCACTTATCTTAGGAAAAGCCATCATGGTTTCTTTTGGGGGAAATTTTACTTGTTTTAGCGCATCACTTGTTAAATATCGTTGAAAGGAAGACTCGAGAAGCGCACCAGAGTCCATGTCAAAAAATTCTAAAAAGCGATAGTGAGCAACAATGAGAACTTTGTCCTTGTTGAGACAAAATAGCTTTGTACCAACCATACCAAACCTTTGCTCGAAATCAATCTTTACACTTTTGTGATCACGGGTAACCAGGTCAAATATGTTACCGTCGTTTCCGTCATGGGAAGTGCTCACAACAACAGCGACCTTAGAATCGTTACTGAGGCAACACAAATGTCTTGTTCCACATACTTTAGTGAAAAAAACTTCATACACATCTAGCTCCTCCTTGGTATTTCTTTTCCAAATATAATACATATACTCATCATTGCCAAAGACAAAGGAAGCACCAGGCGAAACTGTAATACTCATTTCAGGTTCAATTCCAGGTAAGGTGATCATTCGTGGTCCCCCAACTCCGCTGACATCGAGAACTTTAACAGGCTCCGACTCTCCACACTCGAAGCTGAGTAAACCCTCTGAAAAATCAATAATTACTGATAAGGATACGAACTCTTCCAATAAATGAGACAGCGATACTTGCTGGCTCTGAGGGAACACGATCTTTAAATTGACATCTACCGGGTATTTTGATAAGCTGGGAATCCTGTCAAAAAAATCAAACACGAACAAAATTTTTCCGACCACCAACAAACAAATGATGAATCGCCTTGATCTCTTTTGAAACGCTGCTCAACTTGGTTCGTATGGACATTCCATATGTTGATATATCCATCTGAGGTACAAGTTGCAAGTCGGGAGCCATCAGGAGAAAACGAACTTGAAAGAACCCGTGTTGGACGTGGCAGGCGAGAAGATTGTTGGTGTGTTGGAGGTAATGTCCTAAAGACATATAATTTTTCCGCATCTGCATAGAACCACAGATCATCTTCAACGGTTGTTAGTTTGTAGCAGTCTATATACACCTCTTCGCGAGAAATATGAGCAGAAAGGTTCCAAGCAGCAAGCGTAGTGAAATGAGTGCTTTCTATGACACTTAAAGTATGATCTTTTAAAGAAAAACTACACTCTACACCATTGTAGATCCCCGTGGACCAGGATTCCCATTCGTCTCCCCAAAACGTGAACGGCATGCAAACTTCGATTTCTAATCTTTTAGAAGAGTTTAATTCTTTAAATCCTGGTAGAAAACAACGTTTACATTTCTTATCCTGGAATACTCCTGGTTCCTTTAGCTTTACATCACGTATGTTTCGCTCATCACATCTTTGCCAGGTAATGGCATTCCAAACGCAAAACGAATCTTCTGCTTCTTGAATTGTAGAATCGTCTGATTCTGAATCTGCACTCATAGAATCATCTGATTCTGAATTTACGAAACTCATATCTACAACATGTTGCCGAACTCCAATAATAAATAACCCTGTACTGCTAAAAGAGCACCGACCAACACCCACGCCAGCACAAAGTAACGACAGCAACCTTTGCTTGGCAACGTCCCATAACTTCATAGTGTTTGTACCGTCACCAGTTACCAGCCTCTTGCCATTCGGGGAAAATGCACACGACGCAAACGTCTCTTTATTTCCGTGGAAAAAAGGTACTAACTTTCTTTCAGCAATGTTAAGGACTAATTCCAGTTCCCCAAATAAAAGGAATGAATCGTCTGGAGCAAATGTGCAGCATGGAATACTTCCAGCAATACTTCTGTATTGTGTTGAATATTGCCAAAGCTCAACTAAACTTGGTACGGATATTACACGGATTGTCTCATCGTCGTCTGCAACGGCTGCCATTGTTTTATCATTGGACAAGCCAACAGCGTTAGTCTCTGACATTTCAGGAATACGCCACGCTGCAAGCGGCAAAACCTCCACCTCATTAAAGTTATACTTGACAAACCGTGAAACCTTTGATAAAAGCGACTCTACAATTTTCTTCTCGTTATCACTGAAATATCCTTCTGGAGAATGCGTGAGAACACTTTGTAAATAATATGATCCCATCTTTAGCATTGATTCTTTTTCCAGAAAGTCAATTTCAAAGACATGCCATAGAATGCGTTTTCGTAGTTTGTCACTTGTGACCACAGAACTTTGAAGAATTCCTAACCAGAGATTTAACAGGTAAAGTCTATCATCGTGGCTTATTTGGGGGTAGATAGTTAACGAAACGTGTATGATTACTATATCTACCAACCAAAACAAACGTTCCTTCATCATGCATGCTCCTAGATAATCAAAGCCATTCTTCAGAGCGTACTTCACATCGTTAGTTAAGTTTAAATCATGTCCGGAGCAAACGGTTTTCTTAATTTCTTCGAAAACCTTTTCACAAATTAGCCAGAGTGATTTACTTCCATCCATGACATTGACAGTATATTCATGATCTTTGTAGCCTTCTGCAAGAAGCCAGTCAGTCACGGATTTGTGAAAAACGGTCACCAGATCATCAGAAACGTAGAGCAAGCACGATACCGTTTGATTGACTTTGTCAATAATCTTTCTGGTTTCGCGACAATCTGGAGACAAACCAAGAGCACGAGAGATGAAGCTGAGGGGAAGAGGGCCTTTAGAAACTGCCAGCATTTCCAAAATTTTCAACACATCAAGATTTCCATGCATTATGGCTCTTAGCTCGTCTTTAAGGCGATTAAAATATGCTAAGTAAATAGAATCCAGGCCTTTTGGGACAAACTTCATTATTTCATCCAACGTCATCGTATCAAAATCGTCGCGTTTCCGTAGCTCAGATTGAACGTAAAACGCGTACAGAAATGAACCCTCGCACTTCTTAGCAAGCACTTTATACACACTTGGATTCGAAAACAGATCTTTACATAGGAATTTCTTTGCTTTTGTGTCCCCTAGACTTGGAAGGCAGGCTTTGAGGTATAATTCAAGATCAGAGTTATTGTTGGCGTCATCGCTGTCAATATTAATCCTTTGAACATCACTTAGTTTTGTTACGGAAATCTCCGGCCTGCTGGTCACCAGGAACTTTATACACTCGGGAAGATCTGGAAAATAATCAGTAATCAAATTCATAATTTCATCCTTATTATCTGCTGCACTTTCATCCAAGCCATCGATCACGACCAAACTTGGTTCTTCTAAATCCAATTCATCAAGGGGATTTTGCAAGTATATTGTAAAAGCATCCTTTAAGCTTTGGACTTGATAAGGTCGCCTCAACTGATCAAGAAGCTTCTCTTTAAAACCCGCGATATTTTCACACATCTGACTAGCGAGAGACTGCAGCATCAGCATAGGATTTCTTAGGTTTGAATTACTGAAGTCACAAAAGTGAGAAGCTGCCAACTTTCTCTTCATCTTAAACTCCTCACAAACTTTTGCTGCAAACACACTTTTACCAAACCCAGGTCCAGCTGTCAATAACAACATCCTTGATTTTTGCTCTTTCTCAACAAATTCGTCCACCTGTCGTAATAACCACTCTCTCGTGCCATGATGGAAAAACTCCACTTTACGTTTAATTTTGCTCTTGAAATTATGCTTTGCCAGTTTTCGCAAGAGATTTTCAGCACTCTCGTTGCTGCAATTTTTCTGATGATCGGTATCCTTAGAAACTTGTGACGGATGATTGACGGAACTTTGGAGGGCTTGGATATCGCTTTGTTGTTCTAGAATCGACTGATGGAGTTCTTTTATCCCATCGCGGTTTTCTTCAGCAATTGATGCCAGCACTTTTATACTCTCTTCTTCTTGTGATTTCCATTCTTTAAGTGTCTCCACATATATTTCTTCTTCAGGTCCTAAAAGACAAGTTTTTAAACCATCGACATCATTGTGGGGAATGTTTAATTCTACCAAAGCCTGGGAAATTTTCTGCCATAACGATTCATATGTTGCATTATCCACTTGAGTTGATGTCACGTGTGCATAAATTTCATTTCTAAACAACTTCAGTCGTACGATATTTGCTTGCATTGACCTGTCCGTGTCTGGAGGCATTGCATCCCATCCTGTTTTCGGTAAGCCACAAATGTTCCGGAACAGAACTGTAAGTAATGTAACATCGAAGGTTTTGGAATTTGGCGGGTTACCGGATGGAGGGAATAGTAAATCCCACTGAGGATTATTAATAACTCTAGGCTTTAACTTTAGAAGGGATGCTCTGTTTGCAGCTAGAACTGCCTTTAGATTGGCAGGAGGATGAGTAGAATCAAATGTATTTCTCAAAGCTTCAGTTCCTTTGTCAACCAAAAGTCTACTAAGTCTTGTAAAATTTGCCTTTTCTTGCAGATTGACAGAAGCCATAACACTGCATGAGTTTACTGCAACATAAAGTATATCTTGGATAAGTTTCACCTGAGTGAAGTAATCTTGGTAAGTTTTACCTTAGCAAATGTGGTGGGGCAGAGGGGGTGGGGCAGAGGTTCCTATAATTTATGGCATTCTATTAATACCAATATACGATCTTCCCTAGAATGACATATTTTAATTTACATGCTGTCGAGCATATGCTTTTCAAAGATCAGATTACAGGTTAGCACAATCATGTAAAAATTTGTGACATCTTGAGTTTTGTCGCATTTCCCAGCTGCCACAATGAACATTATCTTGCGTCCAACAAAAGCCATTGCAGATCCTCAATAAACCTTCGGATTCAATTCCTCTCAGTGTTAATTCTGGACTTTGCTTGTACTCATCTTCAACGTACTAGAGTCTTAGCTGTTATCATCATTTGTTGCAGTTGTTTTGGGGCAATAAGTAGAGGGTTTTTTTCAGAATGGATCCAAGCAATTTGTGGTCTAATTCGACCAGTATTTTTCTACCATACACGTAGGTCTCAACAGCATCTACTTCACGGATGCCTTTATTCAGTGTTAGAAATCTTGACGGATAATCCACTGGTGGCTGTGGTTGATTTTTCTGTGTGAGCCAGGCTGAAGATGTAAGACCATTTATGCCAACGTCACGGTGGAATACAGGGTGTCGAATGCAATGTTGTGATTACTTGGATCCTTCAATCCAGGTGCTATATTTCATAGAGTTATTCCATGCGCGTGATCAGAAATACACAGGATGTGTTGTTCAATATAAATTCTACCGAGATAGAGTCTCCAGATACCCGTGTTCGACGACAGCCTATCAGGGCCTTTTTTAACATACAAGCTGGGGGGGGGGCATTTGCCCCCAGTCCCCCACGAAATTACATCCCCCCCTTTTTCCTAAATTTATACAAACAAACCACTGAAACCATTGAAGAATAACAAATAGATAAACGGAAAGTAAGTTTTATAAGCATTTATCCTTTGTCCTTGTTTAACAAAATCGATTTAAATTGTTACGTTTTTCTACCACTAAGTCTAAGTACTGTTTAAATTAATAAACGAGCAAGAGTGTTTTATTAGGTTTAAAGCCACGAGCGCGCAGCGCGAGTGGCTTTAGACCTAATAAAACACGACCTGCAAGTTTATTAAACGGCTTCAAAAACGACTACAAATTCAATAGAAATACTGCTTATTAGTATTCTTTATATAAAAAGTACTAATGACGACACGACTACAATAGGTACTGCCTTATTAGTATTCTTTATATAAAGAATACTAATTAGGAGTTTTTATCAGGTTTAAAGCCACTGCACGTGACATATTATGGTTGACATGATTTGTCAATTAGCTTATGAATTATTAATGAGTGTTTGAAGTAATGATAAATTATTGGAAATATTTTTTTTATTTTTTGTGCGTTTTTTCCTTCTTTTATTTCAAATACAAGTATTAGCAACTTAGCATAAATTTTAGAGCAAATTCGGTTTGCTCAGAATGCAGAAAACGGCATTTCCGGGCTTCAAATTTCAAAAATTTTCCGCGCGAGTATGCCCCCACACGTGGCCTTCAGCTGTTGCTATCCCCCTCTAATAAGTAATGATAAATTATAATTTTTTTTTTAACTTTTTGTGCGTTTATTTCCTTCTTTTATTTCAAATACAAGTATAGTTAGCATAATTTTAGAGCAAATTTGGACGCTTAGAATGCTTCAAATTTCAAAACATTTCTGGGACTCCCCTATTCATGCCTGGTATGTCGGCCACACACGTGACTTTCGGCCATTGCTATCCACCTCTAATATATTATCTCACAGAAAGGTCCCTTTTCAAAAAATACCCCCTCCCCCCACGAGAAATTCCTTAAAAAAGGCCCTGCGGGAGAAAAACCGGAGCCCGGGTAAAAACCCCCGAAGGCCGAAGCACAGCGAAGAAATTCACGAACCAAATTATACTCTAAGGACGCAAGTATAGATACCCAACCCTCGACCTACATGCTACAGTATTACAGTAATGTTACACGTTTAAACTGAACGATAGAGTACTAGTTGAGGAGCGTTATTTCAAGGCAAATAGGCAATGGCTTAGCGTGAGGCGGTTTCTACAAAAAACCGAAAACCGAAAACCGACTGGAAAAACCCAAAAAAACCGAGTTAACCGGGTTTTTTTAAAAAATACGTTCGAAAATCAAAACTACTGTAAAAAAAGACACAACACGCTACTGAGTACTCACGCAAGATTAATACGTAAGGTATTTTGAAGACGTTATCAAATTTCAAACAAACTCTCTTTAGTTTTTCGTGTGTAAATGCCAAAACGTGATTCAATTGCATCAAACTCGTATAAGTATGGTTCGATTTCAGTAAAATACCGATTTTTCTTCGTTTTTTCCCGTTTCCCCCGGTTTTTTCGGTTTTCTGTTTTTTCTCCAAAAGTAACATCGAATATTTCGGTTTTCAAAAAACATCGGGTTTTTTTTCGGTTTACCGAAAAACCGCCTCACCCTACAATGGCTGTTTGTGCCTCACACACCGCACACCAAACACGTAAGAACGTCTGAGAGAATCGTATTACTTAATATATATAACTTGAAACAACAAGAAGTCCAGTTTTAGGCCAGGAATGCACAAGAGTTTTTCCTGAGCAAAATTGTCTGGTATTAGACAGGATAAAAGAATGGAACACAATAAAAAACATCCTTCTAGCAAATAGCATTGGTGAATAAAAGCTAGTTGCTCTCACATGCTAAGCTATTCCGCTTTGTAGAAGACAAAAATTATAAAGAAATTTATATTCTCAATCCCTAATTTGTCAGGACATACGAACATTTTTATATCAGTATCACTAAGTTGCCGGCAAGATAATTGTGTGACTTGGAAAACCTGAAACTTCAAGGAAAATGACAAGGAAACTGCTAAAATTCTCTGTTGTATTAATGTCTTCAGTAATGTGTTTTTCAAGTGCGCTGAGGGGAGACTGAATCAGTATTTGAATAATTTTTTGGTCGAATGCGTTGGGGGAGGGAAAGTGGTATCACTTTGGTTGTAGATTGAATACACTAAAATAAAACTATATATGAAACAAGATGCAGCACAAGGCTAAAGGTTCTTGTTACTTATTTCTGCGCATAAACCTGTTCTTCACATAAACCACAGGGAAAAGGTGTCTTTTTTTAAGGGAAAAAGTGCATTACAACAGTCTAACGACGTAGTGTCTGGCCGCCTACTAACTTCCGCAATCGTATATTAAAACACTGAATAAAACAAATTCACTTAAACGTATTGCTTAATATTTAACTTCATACATAATACGATTCTCCAAGACCAATAAAAACACAAAAGTAGAAATTACAATTTAATTAACGAGGCTTTATAAACCTTTTTAACATGACGCCACAGCGCTGTGCCGCGTGCTGTGGTCGATACAAAATCATGAATAAAATCAATAACATGACCAACACTGACACAAACGCACCTTATTCAAATCTTGATAGAAATATTCTTACTACATGACCAAGTCATCAAAGATTAACTACACAAACACATGAAATCAATGCCTAAAACGGGGACCAACCAAGACGAAATTCAACCATCAACTTATTCTGCTGTCCCCTGCTGGGCTACTTATAATAATTACTTTAAATAATTCGGGTAAATTTCCATATTAACAATCTGTATTTAAATAAGTCCCAATCCTAACCCAAATCCTGTTCCTTATAATGTTTACAATAACGCCATGGTTGAATGATTGATTCGTGTCTTCGTGTGCATAAATTAATATATTTTTTCAACACTCTAACCATCTTTCATGCTTTCTACTGAGTTGAAATTACAACAGAAAAATAAACGCGCAAACAAACGAGGCAATTTTTGCTGCATCTTGGAACGTGATTTCTGACATAGAGCGATGTTATGTGTAAGGTAGTTGCAAGGAAATTGTGAGCATGGCCTACAGTTTACTCTGCCGACATTTTTCATCCCATTTCTTTCATTTTTTCATTGAAATGAATATAACTGGAACGCTATCTTTAGTTTATATCATGATTGACTGATTGAGCGCTCTTCGCATGCGTGGAAAGACTGGGACTGGCCTTCAAGTTTACTCTGCCGACATTTTTCATCCCATTTTTTCATTTTTCCATTGAAATGAATATAACTGGAACGCTATCTTTAGTTTATATCATGATTGACTGATTGAGCGCTCTTTGCTCGAAGATATTAGCTCATTGTTTGAGCTACTCTGTAAATTCGAGTTAAAATAAAGTGTATGTATGTATGCATGTATATGTATATGCATGCGTGAAAAGACTGGAACTGACCTTCAAGTTTGCCTTCAAATTTCCGGTTGGAGGTAGCGTTCTCGATGAATTTTTCATTTCCTTAAAAGTATGTTATGTAAAGAAAGTATCGACAGAGTAGAATGCGGGTCATGCTCACAATTTCTTTGTGATTACTTTTTAAATAACGTGATATTCAAAATGGCGTTGCACGTTGCAGCAAAAGTAGCTCGTATAACATTAAAAAAAAAACTCGGAAAAAGCACAACAGATATTTTTTATCAAACCGTACTTCTCCAACCGATATAGAATCCCAAAAAAGTATATTACCAATAAAAATTTACATTACAAAATGGTTCATAAAAGTTCTATAACAAAGCTACCAAACTACAAAATTCAATTACCAAGCTATCACTAATGTACGAGTCAAATCCAACCGCGATCAGCCCCCCCCCCCCGGGCAACCCCAGGGCATTTGACTTAACATTACCCCCGTAAAAGGGGGGGGATTTAACAGCCCGGTCGGGAATTTGACGGCCTGGCCGGGCATTTGACCACTTGACAACAACTTGCTCAGCAGTTTACCCTAAAAATATGTGTACATTCTAGCGCTTTACGAGTTTTCTATTTTGCGTCTTTTCGATAGTTTGAAAATTGCTTCTGAATCACAAATATCAATCATAGATATATGATACAATATGCCCAGTTGAACAAAAAGAAGAACTGTCGGCCTATTTTTCGTTCTTTTTAATCTTGAAATACTTGTTCAATTTAATTTTAGTCAAAATTCCAGAAACAGCACTACCCCTATAGCAGGGCATTTGACTGTGGTTTCTGCCTGTTCGGGCGGGCATTTGACCAATTATTTTTTCAAAAGTCAAATTTCCCGGGGGTTGCCCGTGGGGGGGGGGGGCTGATCGCGGTTGGATTTGACTCGTACATAAATTTGATGACTTGTCTACACAATATAATATCAGTATATCTTACAAAAGTCCTCCCCGCATGTCGAAAGCTATTTTCATCTGTATATAAAAAATGTATGTAAACCTCAATCAAAGGAAATCATAGACCAATTTCATATCTCCGTCTGCACAGGTCGGAACCACTCAAAATACAGTTAGTTCTCCGTAGTTTCTTCACAGATCAATATATACGTTTCTTTTTATGGAAAACACCAAGTTTATTTAGCAAAGTTTTCAATCTGTATACTTCATCAAATATAGTCTGTGTCATAGATTATTTTCACATTACAGTATACATACTGTAGTACAGATTTCAAGAAACTGTTAGGCCAAGTTTTTCAATTTAGATATGAATATTTCAAAATACCCAACGTTATTTTGTTTCGAAGAGAAGAGTTTTTCAAACATGAAGAAATCATGTTTGAAAACTTCTCTTCATATTTCTCTGACACTGTCGATTTAAAACAAAGAAAGCCTCGGTCAAACGTAGATAAGAGTTAATGAGAGTTGCGACTCTCGCTCGCGTTTGATCACCAACTCTCATCAACTTTGAACTGGTTCAAATTTTGATGAGAGTTGACGAGAGTTTGTCTCGTTTGACTGACAATGTCTTAAATCCACTCCAATTTAAGTGTTATTCTGTCAGCAAAAATGGTGAAAGAATAACATTGAGTTGATCCGACTCCTTCAAATTGACAGTTTGGCAACTCTCATGCAACTCTTGTTCTCGTTTGACCGGGGAACGAAAGTTGAGAAAAATCTCATGCAACTCTTGTTCTCGTTTGACCGGGGAACGAGAGTTGAGAAAAATCTCATGCAAAAGCTTCAGTCAATCAAGGATGAGAGTTGCTATTCTCGCTCGCGTTTAACCACCAACTCTCATCGACTCTCAAGCACTCTCATCAACGGTTCAAATTTAGATGAGAATTGATGAGAGTTTTCGCTACGTGCGTGGTAATATCCATACAACCCTTGTTCTCGTTTGATCGAGGCACGAGTTGAGGAAACTCTCGTTCAAACTCTCGCTTGCCAACTCTCATGCAACTCTTGTTCTCGTTTGACCGTGGCACGAGAGTTGAGGAAACTCTCGTGCAAACTCTCCCCTGCCAACTCTCATGTATTCTCATTCTCGTTTGATTCGGGTTTAAAATTTTTATTTGCTAAATTGTATTCATTCGGAGAAACTTTCAGAAATAAAATACCACATCTACAAGTACCAACAACTTTTTGCTCGGAAAATAAGAGCTCGTTTGAGAACCTGAAACTTAACCTTATTTACTGCACTGGTAATGATCGGGATTATAGATCGAAAGCTTTGCTAAATAAATCGACATCGTATTTTCAACAAAATTAAGGTACTTACAATATTTTTCATCAAATTATCTATATGTTCCGTAAGTTCTCACAAATCCGATCTATCAGACAAGTGCATAGTTTCTTCCTTTCAGTTCAAACGATAAATACCAACGATGCCTGTTTCTTGACAAGAAAAACAGGCGAAAGCACCAACCAGGCAACTATTTCCATCAACATCTTCACCATTTTATTGTCGTCATAATTACCACTATCATTTAACCACCATTATCAACACCAATTATAATCCATTATCAATCCAATTAAATACCATCGTAACAATCATTTGTACCATCATAACCTACATCATCACTCTAAGTGACCAAACCGTAACTATCAGCATTTTTACACCATCGTCATTGTCATCACCTATATCATCGCTACCATCACCAGCTTCAGCACTGTTCTATCATCAACACCATCATAATCACCAGCATAGCACTGTTATAATCACCATCATCACAACACTGCGATAACAATCACTATCACCATTATCACCATCACATCACTGCAATAATAACCACCATTATCATCATCTCAACATTGCAATCTCAGTCATCACGACCGCAATTTTCATCACCATCATGACCTCCACCACCATCAGTATGATCATTACCATCATCACCAACACCATCATACACCTACATAATCTTCCATCAGCTTTTCACGGTAAAAGATTTCATGCAAAGTAACAGTTTTGCGGATCCTACTTGATATCTGATGCATAATTAGAACCTGTAACCCTAGGTAGGAAGGCAAGGGAGTACTATCACTTGCCCAAGGTGAGCTCCCAGACAAGCGGAGGGAAGGAGGTGTCTTACTTCTCCATTCTAGACTGGCTCCAAGCAAAGTCTAGCCGCTGCCCCCAAAATTATCCGTTTCACGGTGCGTTTTATGCCCTTACTCAATAAATCCTCATCAAAGACTTTCTTTCTTGTTGGAAGTACATGACGATATCGTTCTGTGCGTAGTATACGGTTATATTGGGAGTTCATGTTTTGACGAGAGAGTTATTATGATAAATTCACCAAGCTTCTTCCTAGAATTTAGAAAAACTTGAACTTCTTGTTCTTTTTACGACGTCAACCACTGCTCTGTATATACAGTAAACGAACCATACTTTGTCTACGATGTTCTTTGTTGTTCTTTACGGAATGTTTTTATACGATGCAACGATCTCTTAAAAAAAGAAGTCATCATAACTATCACTATTATAACCGCAGCGATCATATCCCTCAAAGTTTTTCATTTCTGACTTTCTCTTTTTTGTCAGGATGTTAGCTGCTTCACGTTTCATAGTGGACAACAAAGGGTCTTGTGGAATACACAGTCGAAGAAACTCCATATCGCCATTTATTTTAGGAAAAGCTATCATGGTTTCTTTTGGGGAAAATTTTATTTGCATTATTGAATCCCATGTCAAACATCGTTGAAAAGCGGTCTCGAGAAGTGCACCAGAGTCCATGTCAAAAAATTTTAAAATGTGATGAGATGCAGCTATAAGAACTTTATCTTTATTAATACAAAATAGCTTGGAATCATAAATAGAACAATCAAAATGTACACTTTTGTCATCATCGCCATCGAGATCAAATATTTTGACGCCCTCCAGATATACATGGCGATTGTCTAAAACAACAGCGACTTTAGAATCGTTACTGAAGATACCTACAAAATCTCGTTTAATTATTTTTAAATTGGCTTCATCGCAAACTTCGTCATCTCGAGGATATATTGTCCAAACAGGTTCATGAAAAAATATGTCGTACATATCTGGTTCCTCGGCACCTCTTTTCCATATATAACACAAATATTCATCGGCACCAAAGACAAAGGAAGCACCAAGCGAAACTGTAATACTCATTCTAGGCTCAATTCCAGGTAAGGTGACCATTCGTGGTCCCCCAACTCCACTGACATCGAGAACTTTTACAGGCTCCGTCCCTCCGCACTCGAAACTGAGTAAGCCTTCTGAAAAATCAATAATTGCTGACAAAGGTACGAACTCTTCCGCTACATGACACAGCGACACTTGCTGGCTCTGATTGAACAGGATCTTTAAATTGACATCCACCGGGTATTTTGATAAGCTGGGAATCCGGTCAAAAAAGTCGAACACGAACAAGAACTTTTCTGACCACCAACAAGCAAATAACGAATCGTCTTCATTGATTTTGAAACGTTGTTCAACTTCGTTCGTATCGACATTCCAAATGTTGATATATCCATCTGAGTTACAGGTTGCAAGTCGGAAGCCATCAGGAGAAAATGAACTCGACAGAACCCGTGTTGGACGTGGCCGACGAGAAGACTGTTGGTGTATTGGGGCTGATGTCCTGAAGACACATAATTTGTCCTTATCCGCGTAGAACCACAGATTATCTTCAATTGCTGTTATTACGCCAAATCTTTTAAACATAGCAGCGTCAAAATTATAAACACAAAGGTTCCAAGCAGCAAGCGTGGTGAAATGAGTAGTTTCTATGACACTTAAAGAATAATCTTTCAAACAAAAACTAGATTCTTCACCATTGTAGATCCCCGTAAACCAGGCTTTCCATTGGCCTCTCGATAACGTCAAGGGCTTACATACGACGAGTTCTAATCTTTTTGAAGAGTTTAATTCTTTGAATCCTGGTCGAAAACAACGTTTACATTTCTTCTTCTGGAATGTTTCTTCTGGTTCCTTTAGCTTTACATCACGTATGTTTCGCTGATCACTTCTTTGCCAAGTAATGGCATTCCAAACGCAAAACGAATCTTTTGGGTCAGACCTCCTGTCTTGAATTACATATTCGTCTGAGTCTGATTCTGAGTCGTCATCCGTAGAATGTACAACATATTCACTGTCTCCAATGATAAATAACCCTGTACTGCTAAAAGAGCACCGACCAACAGGCCCGTCAGCACAAAGTAACGACAACAAGCTTTGCTTGGCAACGTCCCATAACTTAATGGTGTTTGAACGGTACGCGTCACCTGCAGTTACCAGCCTCTTGCCATTCGGGGAAAATGCACACGACGTAAACCTCTCTTTATTTCCGTTAAAGAATGGTACTTCCTTTCTTTCAAGAATGCTAAGTACTGTTTCTAGTTTTCCAAATAACACGAATGAATCGTCTGGAGCAAATACGCAACATGAAATACTATACTGTACTTTATATTGCCAAAGCTCAACCAAACTTGGTACGGATATCACACTGATTCGTTTGATTGAACCATTCCTGTGTTCAACAGCTGCTACTGTCTTATCGTGCGACAAACCAACAACGTTAATAATTTGCAAATTGTAAGGAAAACTTCTAGTCTTTGACTCTGGCGTTGCAGGCTCACGCCATACTGCAAGCGGCAAAACCTCCACTTCATTAAAGTTATACTCGACAAACTGTGAAACCTTTGATAAAAGCGACTCTACAATTTTCTTCTCGTTATCACTGAAATAGCTTTCTGGAGACTGTGTAAGAACACTCTGTAAATAATGTGGTCTGGCCTTTAGCATTGACTGTTTTTCCAAAATTGCACATTCAACGACATGCCATGAAACACGTCCTCGTAGTTTGTCACTTATGGCCACAGAACCATGAAGAATTTTTGCCCAGAGATTAATTAAATATTTTAATAAATTATTCATATCATCATTCTTGGGATAGATAGATAACAAAACGTGTATGATTACAACATCTACCGACCAAAACAAACTTTCCTCTATACTGCATGTTCCCAGATAATCAAAGCCATGATCCAGAGCGTACTTGACATCATTAGTTAAGTTTAAGTCGTGTCCGGAGTAAACAGTTTTCTTAATTTCTTCGAAAACGTTTTCACAATTTAGCCAAAGCGATTTATTTCCATCCACAACCTTGACAGTATATTCATGATCTTTGTAGCCTTCTGCAAGAAGCCAGTCAATAACGGACTTGTGAAAAACGGTCACCAGATCATCAGACACGTACAACAAGCACGACACCGTTTCGTTGACTTTGTTAATGATCTTTCTTGTTTCGCGACAATCTGGAGCCAAATTAAGAGCCCGAGTGACGAAAATGAGGGGAAGAGATCCTTTAGAAGCTGCAAGCATTTCCAAAACTCTCAACACATCAACGTTCCCATGCACTGCGGCTTTAAGCTCGTCTTCGAGGCGTTTAAAATATTTTTGGTAAATAGAATCCAAGCCTTCTGGAAGAAAGTTGATAATCTGTTTGTAAGTCATCTCATCAAGATCATCCCGTTTCCGCAGCTCAGCTTGAACGCAAAACGCATACAGAAATGAGCCCTCGCACTTCTTAGCAAGCTCTTCAACGACAACATCCCTGGCAACAACACTTGGCAGGCAAGCTTTGAGGTAGATTTTAAGATCTGATTCATTGAAAAAATCATCATTTGCAATAATAATCTTTTGAACACCTAGTTTTGTTACGGAAATCTCCGGCCTGCTAGTCACCAGGACCTTGATACACTCGGGAAGATCTGGAAAATAATCAGCGATCAAATTTACAATTTCATTCTTATCATCTGCTGCACTTTCATCCAAGCCATCGATCACGACTAAGCTTGGTTCTTGTAATTCCAATTCATCAAGGGGATTTTGCAAGTATATTCCAAAAGCATCCTTAAGGTTTTGGACTTGATGAGGTCGCCTCAATTGATCAAGAAGCTTCTCTTTAAAACCTGCGATATTTTCACACATCTGACTTGCGAGAGACTGCAGCATCGTCATAGGATCTCTTAGGTTTGAATTACTGAAGTCAAAAAAGTGACAAGCTGCAAACTTTCCTTTCTTCTTAAAATCTTCACAGACTTTAGCAGCAAACACACTTTTGCCAAACCCAGGTCCAGCTGTCAATAACAACATTCTCGATTCGCGCTCATTCATACGCTCATCGTATTCATTCTCAGAAAACTCAACGTACTCATACTCAAAAAACTCGTCGTACTCATTTTTGAAAAACCTTTCAACTTCCTTTAAAAACCACTCTCTTGTGCCAGGATGGAAAAACTTGACTTTACTTCTAATTTTACTCTTGAAGTTATGCTTCGCAAGTTTCTGTAAGAGATATTCATCATTCTCTTTGCTGCAATTATTCTGATAATTGGTATCCTTAGATGCTTGTGAATGACGTGTGATCGAATTTTTAATCTTTTGTTTCATTCCATCGCGGTTTTCTTCAGCAATTTGTGTCAAACGATTTATAGAACTCTCCATGGATTTAACATCATCACTCAAGCATTCTAGCATTTTTATACTCATAATACTCATTTTTATACTCATTTTTATACTCATTTTTTATACTCTTTTTTATACTCATTTTTGAAAAACCTTTCAACTTCCTTTAAAAACCACTCTCTTGTGCCAGGATGGAAAAACTTGACTTTACTTCTAATTTTACTCTTGAAGTTATGCTTCGCAAGTTTCTGTAAGAGATATTCATCATTCTCTTTGCTGCAATTATTCTGATAATTGGTATCCTTAGATGCTTGTGAATGACGTGTGATCGAATTTTTAATCTTTTGTTTCATTCCATCGCGGTTTTCTTCAGCAATTTGTGTCAAACGATTTATAGAACTCTCCATGGATTTAACATCATCACTCAAGCATTCTAGCATTTTTATACTCATAATACTCATTTTTATACTCATTTTTATACTCATTTTTTATACTCTTTTTTATACTCATTTTTGAAAAACCTTTCAACTTCCTTTAAAAACCACTCTCTTGTGCCAGGATGGAAAAACTTGACTTTACTTCTAATTTTACTCTTGAAGTTATGCTTCGCAAGTTTCTGTAAGAGATATTCATCATTCTCTTTGCTGCAATTATTCTGATAATTGGTATCCTTAGATGCTTGTGAATGACGTGTGATCGAATTTTTAATCTTTTGTTTCATTCCATCGCGGTTTTCTTCAGCAATTTGTGTCAAACGATTTATAGAACTCTCCATGGATTTAACATCATCACTCAAGCATTCTAGCATTTTTATAGAATCTTCTTCTTGTGATTTCCATTCTTCAAGTATCTTCACATATATTTCTTCTTCACGTCCTAAAGGAGAAGTTTTTAAATCATCGACATCATGCTGTGGAATATTCAATTCTACCAAAGTCTGGGAAATTTTCTGCCATAACGATTCAAATGTTGCATTATCCACTTGAGTTAACGTCACGTGTGCATAAATTTCGTTTCTAAGGAACTTGAGTCGTACGATATTTGCTTGCATTGACCTGTCCGTGTCCGGAGGCATTGCACTCCATCCTGTTGATGGTAAGCCACAAATGTTCCGGAACAGAACTGTAAGTAATGTAACATCAAAGGTTTTGGAATTTGGCGGGTTACCGGATGGAGGAGGGAACAGTAAATCCCACTGAGGATTATTGATAACTCGAAATTTTAACTTCAAAAGAGATGCTCTGTTTGCAGCTAGAACTGCCTGTAGGTTGGCAGGAGGATGAACAGCGTCAAATGTATTTCTCAAAGCTTCAGTTCCTTTGTTAACCAAAAGTCTACTGAGTCTTGTAAAATTTGCCTTTTCTTGCAGATTGGCAGAAGCCATAACACTGTGCGAGTTTACTGCAACATAAAGGATATCTTGGATAAGTTTTAACTGAGTGAAGTAATCTGGGTAAGTTTTAACTTAGCAAACGGGTGGGGCAGAGCTTCCTATATTTTAGGGCATTCCATTAATACGAATATACGATCTTCCCTGGAATAATATATTGTTATATGCTGTAGAGCATATGCTTTTCAAAAGAGTGGATTAAGATCACATTATAGGTTAGCACAGTCATGTAATAATTTGTGAGTCTTGTCGTATTTCCCAGCTTCCACAACGAACATTATCTTGCGTCCAACAAAAGTCATTGCCAACTCTCAATAAACCTTCTGGTTTCTATACTCTTATACCTCGTAACAGAAATCCTTTTTTCTGAAAAATATTTATTACAATACAGTACCTAAAAGTCCAAAAGTAACTTGAATGTCAGGGCAGTCATGCTTATATACTGTATTTTCAACTTTCCACTAAAGGCGAAAGGCAAGAGAGAAAAATCGAGCAAAAGAGAGGCATAGTATGCCCATTCGCAGGTTGGAAATTCAAATTAAGGAGATTATGATTATGAAAGGTAGAGAGAGAGCATTACAGGATAAATTCGATCAAACGAACGGGACAAATTGAAGTTTCCTAAAAACATACGCCTACATGTAAGTCCCCGCCAAGTCATTTAAACCATCAAAAACAAACTGATTGTGAAGCATTTTCTTCACAGTAATTTCGTTACATTTTGCCACAAGAAACTGCAAGAATTGGCATTTTCAAGTCCTCGAATTGAATCTCCATGGATTCCAGTCTGTCTCGCTTTAAATACTCTCTTGTATGACAATGCGTCTGTGCATGGTTGCTGTGTAGCCTTCCAATCAAAGTTTTGTCTGCTCCAGTGTCTTGTATAATTTGGATCAGAGTGGAATATCTCTCATTAACAACCTTTGTTGCATTTATTTCCTCTACTTCTTCTTTATTGGCTGATTTTGTATGATGTTGACATACCACTTTTCCCCCAAGCAGTTCTTGATTGTAGTTATCTTCAAATTAGTGGAGTCCTGGTAGTTTTTGCAATTCATTTCAGCTGCTTTGGGCATTGAGTCGGGTTTTCTTCAGAATCGATTCAAGACAAATAGTTTCTGATCTAATTCAACAACCACTTTTCTGTCATACACATCGATCCTCTTCAAAACCTTTCTATAATACTATACGCAGTACATGTTCTTAATTTGTGCCCAATCTTATCATCCTCGTCCCCAGGTGATATGGTGCCCACTGGAATGATTGGATATCAGCTGGTTTACAGATCTTGATGCATAAGCCACTGGATTATAGCTTCTATCTTGAAGGAGACTAGAATAAAGCGGAGCTGCCAAGTCTCAAGGTTCACTCATGAGTGACTCATGTGTGCATGTTTTGGGGATGAACTCGAGCCGCGTCTCACAGGTGGACTTACAAATCTCACAGTATTTCTGGAAAATTATTTTATTGATCAGATTCGGCATCTTCCAGTGCAAGAAATATGACTGCATGTTCCGTAGTTGTTTCTAATTCCTCCAAATCCGATGAAAAATTGTTTGGGGGAATGGATCGACGTACAGAGCTAAGAAACAAATATATCTAAGCTTGGGCGGTTTACCGGTTTTGTACGGTTTTTTTTATTAAACCGGTTTTTGTTTTCAATAACCGGAAAACCGGTTTTTACTACATATCAAAAAGCGCACTATATAATTGTTAATTGTTAAGCAATGCTGACATATATGACTGTTGTGATGACATTTTTTCCACGCGCGCGGTAAAGTCTTTACTTCGCCAATTATCAGCGCAAACATGGCTACACAAAATGTTAGCGCTGCCGATTTACGTTCGAAAAAGTCGTTTACATCCCCAATTTGTCAATATATATATTTCGTGT